CGAAAAAGCACATAGGTAGTGCTTATGGAGGGTTGCTGAAATGTCAAGTGCTCCTAGGAACTGTACTTTTTGGCTGTGGTGCTCATATATCTATCTAGCTGTGATGCAAAAAGAAACTGCTTATGATAATGGGGATCACAGATAGTATAGTTGCCAGGCACAAACAGAATCATAAAGGCTGCTTTCAGTGCATGCAGTGACACCAAGAAATTAAACTTATATGGCCTTATACAGCGAAGCAGGTACTCTATCTAAGCTAGGGTTTCATCCTTCTGTTTTGGGAAACCTGGGCAGTGGTCAGAAATTACTCCTGGTTTGGTACCTCCAGTACCATGTGGTGGTAGGTATTTGACCCTGGGCTCTTATACACGCAGTAAGCGTTCCAGCACACTGAGATCTTTCTGGCCCCGTAAACCAGCTTTCTTAAGTTTTGTCTATTCATCACCTGTTTATGCCTAAGAAACCCAATAAGAACTAGAGCTGGGGCTGGAGTGATAGCACAGTGGGTAGGGCGTTTGCCTTGCACACGGCGACCCAGGTTTGATTCCCAGCACCCTATATGGTCCCCAGAGCACCGCCAGGAGTAATTCCTAAGTGCATAGCCATGAGTAACCCCTGTGCATTGCAGGGTGTGACCCCCTCCTCCAAAAAAAAGGGCAAAAAAAAAAAAACCAAGAACTACCAAGAACTAGAGCTGCCTGAAACACAGTAGCTGCACTGACAAATTTCTCATGGTCCGTTTTGCAGCCCCCACCCCCATCCCACCCCATCCCATATCGTTACCCTATCCCCACAAGTTTAAGTTTACTCCCAGCTCTTCACATAGGGACCTGGGGGATGAAAGTGGAGGTCTTGGGATAAAATCTGAGTTGGCCATGTTCAAGCAAGAGTCATAGCTTCCATACTATCTCTCCAGCCTCTATGGTGTATTATTAAACTCATAAACATATGGCCTTTAAAGTTATCTTTTGGTTGTTGGTTCCTAATTGTATTTTGTTAAGAGGATACTTTGCAGAATGTCAGACAGTGGTTTATATTTCAGAATTCCATTTTAAACCCAGTGTATGGTTCAGTTTTAAAAAATATTTTATGTAAATTTACAGAGAATGAACATACCTTAGATGTTGGGAGCAAAATAGCTTGTCCTATTAGGCATAATGTGTACTTAATATCATTTGAGCTTAGTTTCATTGTTTATTAATTGCTGAGAGGTTAAAAAAAGAACCAACTATGATTAGATTTGTCCACTTCCCCCAGCAAATGTCAATTTGTATTTTGTCCATTTTTGTGGTATAGTAATATAAAAAAGTAACATTGATCTTCTCTTCCTTTTTAATAGCTGCACTTGATTACTATTTTAATAGCCCTTTCAGCTCTCTTTTACACAGTTACTTCTCTCCTATTTTTGTATTTTCAAAATTTCCAGTAGTTATATTGAAAAATAACCTTTTCAACTACAGTACCTGGTTCCTTTATTATTTGCTTTTATTGAGGTACCATAATTTCCAATAACATTAATGACGGTTTCCCATATACATCATTTCAACTATACACTCTGCTTCCCTCCAACAAAGTCCTAAGTTTCCCCCTCATCCATCTCACAGGTGAGCCCAGGTAAGCTCAGTTCTACAGACAAACCCTCTAGTTCTGTTGCGTTTGGCCATTTATTGCTCCCTTAGTACGTTTCCTTATATTCCACATATGAGAAAGATCATTCTGTACTTGTCCCTCTTTGACTGACTTCATTCAGCATGACTTCTAGTCCCATCCGTAAAAACTCAATTTCCTTTCTGGGCTGAATTCCATCTTAGATAGATATGTAATTTTTAGATTGCCTCCACCTCCTGCAACATTCTGAATTATCTGTTTGGTTCTGTTTTGCTGTTTTTGATGTCACTTTTTTGTAGGCACTCTTTTTTTTTCTGTAGTTACTAAAAAGATTCCCTCATCTCTGTTGACCATTGTATGCATGGTATTAATTTTTTTCTTGCTTTCAGAGATATTATACTATACTTTTGTCAATTCTTAAAATCTTCTAAATAATTGTCACCTCTTTCCAAATGTACATCCTAAGTTATTTTTAAAGATGATTCTTTCAGTAATCAGTCTTCTTTTTTAATTTCTACTTTGTTAAAAATTGTACCTGCACATATGTCTTCCTTATCTCTCTGATTTCTTTTTGTGGGATATTAAAATACTTAATTCTGCTCTCACTAGTAATGGGTTCTTTATTTATTTTTTCCCCAAATTTTGGTTTGGGAGCTTAGCTTTAACAGTGTTTTATCTTTAACAACACTTGGATATTTTGTATTTATTTTAACCAGATGCTTCAAAAATTTTATAAACCCAGAATCGTTTTATTACTTTGAGGATTTGGTGGTTCCTGGATTAATCAGAGAATATAAGTTCACATCCCACTCTAATAAAGACAGATTTCTAGAGGTGACCCTAGGCATATTACCATTCTAAAAGCAATCATACAAAGATACACTTCTCTCAACATGTGGTCTTGGCATGTTCTACCATTTAATGGAATAATCTCTCTTTGAGGGTTTATGAGAGGGATTTTACAAAGGTCACCTGAACCACAGTACCTATTTTATTTTCTGTCTCAGTGTAGTATTAATGCCAAGTTCCACGGCATATCTATACCTGAAGAGTGAGTCACAGACTATTAAAATCAGAAAGGGGTAGTTCTACGAACAATCTCACTTATCAGATGGCTGCTGTGCTTTGGAACTCACTCTACATTTCTACTTAATAAAATTACCTTTTGGGGCTGGGGAGATAGCTCAAAGGGCTGGAAGTGCATGCAGGTTTAGTCCTTAACCTCCAGATACTCTGAGCACTGCCAGAAATAACCCCAGGATACTATTGGGGATTTGCTTTGAGCACTGCCACAAACAAGCAAAAACGGACATCCAAAGCACTGCCACAAACCTAAAAAAAACCAAAAAACAGCCAAAGAACAGAAAAATTGCCTCATTCTCTCTTTAGAGCTTATCTGTACTATTATAATGATAGTCTATTTTATCCAATGTTTCCAGGCATTTTATAACACGAGAACTTTCAGATATTCCAAACCAGTATTTCTCAAAAGTGGCCTGATTCCAACTTTGGTTCCTTCCTGTAGCCACCACCCTGGCGCTACTGTTTGGCCTTAGTGCCGTGCCCCTCTCCCCCATTTATTTACACCATTCACTATAGCCTCTTAAAATATCCCACAGGAGGCCAACTGGAAATAGCATTTCCAGTTGTGAGATGCTGATCTTAAACTGTGGGTTGAGATTTCATATGGGGCTGCACAACTGAACCAGGGATTTATTTGTTTATTTTGCTTTTGGGTCACACCCAGTGATGGTCAGGGGTTACTCCTGGCTCTGCAATCAGGGATGCTGGGGATCGAATGCAGGTTAGCCACGTGCAAGGCAAACGCCCTATTCACTGTACTATTGTTCTGGTCCAAACCAGGGATTTGTGAAAAAGTTGTTTTTAAATAAATGTATGATTATCAGTAAATACAAGATCTATTTACCTGTTTTATATATGTATGGGATCACAGAAAAATTCCTCAGGTGAAAAGGAGTTGAGGGAGGAAGAAGTTTAAGAAGTTCTGATCTGAACTGTTAATGACATACTTGAGAATTTTACCTTCGTAATTCATTTTTTTTTTCTTTTTGAGTCATATCCGGCATTTCACAGGGGTTACTCCTGGTTCATGCACTCAGAAATCACTCCTGGCAGTGCTTGGGGCATCATATGGGATGCTGGGAATCGAACCCGGGTTGGCCATGTGCTAGGCAAATGCCCGACCCGCTGTGCTATCACACAGGCCCTCTTTGTAATTCTTAAAATAGTTTTTTTTTTAATCCACCTCCCAACTCTCTTTCATTTTTACACCCACACACTAGATAGAATTTAAACTCTTGGTATTTCTAGAAGTAAAAATTAAAAGCAAAAGAAGTTAGCGGCCAACTTCAATTACTCGGAGTCATTTAAAATCAACCTGGGCTGGAGAGATAGTACAGGTAAGTTAAGGCACCTAACTTAAGGTACCTAATCCTGGTTTGACCCCTGGTATCACGTACTGTCCTAAGCACTGAAAGATGCAGCTCTGGAGACACTCCAGCACTGCTGAATAGTCCTCAGAACTCCAAGGCCCAAGCAGCACCACAGCTTTGGGCCTAGCACTGAACTGCTGCCCCGGCCTGGCAGAATATTGCTAGGAGAGTCCCTGAGCCCTGCAGGATGGTTTAGGAGCCACCCCAACCAAAACAAAAAAATAAACGTGCAGGAGAGAAAAAGTGTTTTCTAGATATTAATGATCAGATTGATGAATATTTGGTCTCTTTAGTTAGGAAGCATACTTTTTTTTTTTTTTTTTGCTTTTTGGGTCACACCCAGCTACGCACAGGGGTTACTCCTGCTCATGCACTCAGGCATTACTCCTGGTGGTGCTCAGGGGACCATATGGGATGCTGGGAATTGAACCCGGGTCAGCCGCATGCCGGAAAAATGCCCTACCTGCTGTGTTATCCCTCCAGCCCCAGCATAGACTTTAAGATCTTAAAATTTCTCTTTATTTTGGGGTGGGGTGGGGGTTAGGGGCCACACTCAATGCTGCTTAGGGTTTACTTCTGGCTCTGTATTTTAGAATCACACCTGGCAAGCTTGAGGGACCATACGGAATGTTGGGGATTGAAACTGGGTCAGTACATGCAAGGTAAGCTCCCTATTCACATCTTTCCCGGTCCCAAGATCTTAAAAATTCTTAAAGTAAGAACCTTAATATGCAATATTACTGAAGTTTATTAAAAATTTTTTTAAAAACTGAATCTGAGATCTCATTGTGACAAATGTGACTGGAATAAAATTACTTTTTTAAAAAGTTTTAATTTGGGGGGGATAACCAATAAATACATGTACAAACCAAAACTGTACATCAAACAAATCACAGCTTCTTGTGTTCTTCAATGAAGTGATTCAATATATGATAATACCTTAGCTTTTGGAGTAGCTTTAATTGTCCATATGCAATCAACGGCTTGACCTGGTTTTGTCTTTTCTTCTTGTTCCACCTGACTAGAACGCACTATTCCATCAGCTCCTGAGAGTTCAAACTGGCAATCTACAAAGAATAAGTGGATGAAGTTCAAAGGAACATAAGAGTGATCCCAAATACCATAAGGAAAAAGAGGTAATATACTAAACCTGGGATGGGATTTAAAATACCTCCTAGGTAAGTAAAGTCTGGATCTGTAAAAAAAAAAAAAAAAGAGAAACAAAAAAAAGAATGAATATCATTGACATTAGGATATTTAAAGTTTCTTATATTCTTTTCCCCCCAAGGGGTACACCTGGCAATGCTCAGGACTCTGCACTCAGGACTAAGTCTTGGGTGATACTGGGGGACCATATAGGATGCTGCAATCTAATCTGGGTTGATCTGTGTGCAAGGCAAGCACCCTACACGCTGTACGATCTTTCCTCCCCCATATTTCTTAAATTTTTACTTTTTAAGTCTGGTCTAATGCTACATTGCTGACCTAAACTGTTTTTCATCAAAGTGCCAGGAACAATGAGTAGGATACTCGCTGTCCCAAGGTAAAGGCTTTCAATTGCTGTTTCCTGCAAGTAACTAAAATAACATGGAAATCTTAATGCAATAATGGTAATTCTATAATTCTTAACTACATATTTTGAAATTCTGATTTGTCAAAAATTTCCCATGCCTTTTTATTCCAAGACTCTTTGACATTCAAATTTCTCTTACATTTCTTTGCAAAAAAAAAAAAAATCTGCTTCCTTCTAGCAAGGTTAAGTTTTTGGTTAATTGGATTAAAAAATTTACTCTGGGGGGCTGGAGAAACAGCACATTGGGTAGGGCATTTGCCTTCCATGCAGCTGACGTGGGTTCGATTCCCAGCATCCCTGAGCACCACCAGGGGTAATTCCTGAGTGAATAGCCAGGAGTAACCCCTGTGCATCGCCGGGTGTGACCCAAAAAGAAAAAAAGAATTTACTCTGAAATGTATTCTAAATCGAACTCTCCCCCATTTTTTTTCAGTATTTAATTAGATGACTATTCATAAAATATCTGGAGTTAAAGAACACAGTTTTCTTTTTTTGTTTTTCTTTTTGGGTCACACCCGACAATGCACAGGTGTTACTCCTGGCTTATATACTCAGGAATTACTCCTGGCAGTGCTCGGGGGACCATATGGGATGCTGGGAATCGAACCCGGGTTGGCCGCGTGCAAGGCAAACGCCCTACCCGCTGTGCTTTTACCCCAGCCCCTAAGACCACAATTTTAACAAGACTTGACCACCCGACTATATAGAATAAATTGAACAATAAAATAAGTTTTTCATACTATTAAAGATGCTAAGGCTAAATCAGCAATTTGTCTTTGCTCATAGTATGGTGTCCATAATATGTCGGATGTGAACTTTCAAGTTATTTCATTATTTTTTACCAATTGAAGCTATAGATTCCTATATATTATAATGTTTTAAATTCTTAACTATAGTAAACTATGCATAATTTAATATCTAACTAGCCTGTAATTTTGCAGCAAATCACAGATATTTTCTTTTCTTTTCTAAATTTTTTTTTGCTTTACCCACAACACCCCAAAGGAGAGAGAGAACAAAAGGGAACGCCCTGCCACAGAGGCAGGGTGGGAGGGATACTGGGATTAGTGGTGGTGGAAAATGGGCACTGGCAGAGGGATGGGTATTTGATCATTGTATAATTGAAACCCAAGCACAAAAATTTGTAAGTCTACAACTGTACCTCATGGTGTTTCACTAATAAAAATTTTTAAAAAATTGTTTTTTTGCTTTTTGGGAAATTTGGACCAAATTGTGTGGTATTTGGGAACTACTCCTGGATCTGTGCCTGGGCATATTAGCCATTGCACTGCACTATTATTCCAGCCCCCATTAGTCATTTTTAGGTGGACAATACATTGGCATGAAGCACATTATCAATGTCGTACAAGCAGTATCATATTCATTTTAGCAAAATTAGAGATAAATTTCAATATGATCCAGCAATATGTACCCTGGCATTTACACTAATGAATTAAAATTTTATTTTTCACACTAAATCCAGTGTTTTTAGAAGCTTTATAGCAGATTTTTATAATTGCAAAAACCTGGAAAAATAATGAAGTTTTGATTCTGTCATCATCATCACTGTCATCCCATTGTTCACCAATTTACTCAAGTGGGTGCCAGTAATGTCTGCATTCGTCCCAGTCCTGAGATTTTAGCAGCCTCTCCTTATTCATCTTTCCCAATGCTGCCATATTGGAGGCTCTTTTAGGGTCAGGAGAATGAGACTGTTATTGTTACTGTTTTTGGTATATCATGCCCCCCCTCTTCCCCCCCCCACACAATGAACTATAACATCATGAAATAAAAGAGGAAACTTCAATGCAGATGGTATCCGCATTTTACCAGTAGCAACTCTCAGGCACACTTTACTATTTTAATAGCCAGTCAAGCTATAGGTGGCAAAGGAAGAGTTCAAAAACCCAGATCTTTTGCCTCCAAGGGCAGAGCAGTGTTCTTTAAATTGCTCGGTATTATCTAGAATCAGTTTAGTTCAGTGAGTAGTAAATCTGCCCAAAGGGGAAAATCTGCCAAAATTATATTGGTAGAGATTATGAAAGTAAGTCTATTGAATTTTTATTTGCTGGGGGGGGGGGGTGCTCCCAACCAGGGCTCAGTGAGCATAGGGGTCCCTTGGTCTGGCTGAACAGACTCGCTGGAGGTTTTCAGTGCTTAGGTTCGACAAGGAGATGCTGACCAGTCCCAGGAGTTCTGGGTGCCACCAGGGTTACAGTGAACAGTGCTTGGGGGTGTTAAATTACTTGCATAGGTGTGGCTGGAGTGATAGCACTTGCATGCGGCTGACCCAGGCGACCTGGGTTTGATTTCTCTGCCCCTCTCAGAGAGCCTGGCAAGCTACTGAGAGTATCCCACCCACACGGCAAAGCCTGGTAAGCTACCCGTGACGTATTCCATATGCCAAACACAGTAACAACAAGTCTCACAATAGAGACGTTACTGGGCCTGCTCGAGCAAATCGATGAACAAGGGGAGGACAGTGCTAGAGTGCAGTGCTAGTGTGTGGCTTGGGTTTGATCTCTGGCACCACAGGACCTCTGAAACAATATCCCAGAAGTAGCCCTTGAGCACCACCAGATGTGGCCCAAAAAAGCGAAAAAATTTAAAAAATAAAAGAAAAAGAAAAAATACCATCTGTGATTTGCTGCAAAATTATAGGCTAGTATTATTTTTTATTTTTAGTTTCTATTTATTCATGAACTGATTTCCCTTGAATCTTATTAACATCACATGATTTGACTAACTAAAAATGATCTTTTCTATTCTTAAGAGTCTAAGACCAAATTAAGACTTAACTACTGCAAAGTTAATTTCTTACCTGGAATAAATGAATATTTTGCTCGAAAACCCAGTCCTTCAAGTTCTTCATCAGAACTAAATTTAATCCACATGAATCTCCCTGTTGATCTAATTAATGGAGGGCTTTTCACACCACAGTAGCGATCTATAAGTGGAGAGAAACCAAATGGTCCATCTCGAACTTCTAAGTGATCAAATCGACATTCAAATGATGGTTCTATATAATAATGTTCATCAAAAGTCAACTCTATTCTTTGACGTGGAGCAGCTAGAAAATAGGAGTTAAAAAAGAAAACAGGAGGAAAGCATATCAGGGTGACATGAATGAGAAAAAACAATTAGTGCACTGATGTTAAATGACAAAAACCAAGTAAGTCCCCTGATACTTTACAATTTTTATAATTAAATTGCTACATATGTGTCCCTCTTGGAGAGCCCGGCAAGCTACCAAGAGTATCCCGCCTGCACGGCAGAGCCTGGAAAGCTCCCCATGGTATATTCGATATGCTAAAAACAGTAACAAGTCTCACAATGGAGACTTACTAGTGCCCACTCAAGCAAATCAATGAACAATGGGACGACAGTGCTACAGTGCTACAGTACTACATATGAAGTCAAAGTTTTATTTTGTACTAATGATACTCTTCCATAGAAATATTATAATCTTTCCTTTTTGCATATGCTATTGGTTAGATTAGTCAAATATACTTAATTTGGGGCCAGAAGATAGTACAGAGGTTAGGGTACAGGCCTAGCATGGGCTCAACCTGGTTTATTTCCCAGTACCACATGGTTCCTGGAGCACTGCACAGTGGCCCGGGTTACACCAAGACTGCACAGCCTGGCAACATCACATCTTTGGGACCTTGAACTAAACAGACAGTGTGGTGGGCCAATATTCATAGATAGGTGAGGCCCTCAGACCTCCTGAGCACAATCTGAGAAGCCCCACTCCAGAAAACTGTACTTAACCTGATCATATATAAAGAACTGAGAAACTAATATTTATTAAATGTAACATAACTTTTTTTTTTTATTAGTGAAACACCATGAGGTACAGTTGTAGATTTACAATTTTTTGTGCTTTGGTTTCAATTATACAATGATCAGATACCCATCCCTCCACCAGTGCCCATTTTCCACCACCATGGATAATATCCCCCCCACCCCCATCCCCCCATCCCCCCCTGCCTCTGTGGCAGGGCAATCCCCTGTGTTCTCTCTCTCCTTTTGGGTGTTGTGGTCTGCAAAAGAGACATTGAGTGGCAAACATGTTCAGTCCATAGTCCACTTTCGACATATATCTCCCCTCCTGGGAGGGTCCTCCAAGCACCCTTTATTTGGTGTTCCCTTCTCTGTCTGAGCTGCCCTTTCCTCTAGAATGCCCGACTGGCCACTAAGCTATGGAGTAATCCTCCTGGTGCTGGTCTCAGCTACATAACTTTTTTTTTTTTTAACGAAGAAAGAAATATAAAGCAACTCTGTGCAAAAGTCTGCGTGAAGTCTAGTAAGAGAGGCCAAAATGTTTAAGCTTTTTTATTAGAGAAGCTTCTGATATGTAATGACTTAACTAGCTGAATTATATTTTAGGAAATTAAAAATTCCTATAAAATTTTAATGTTTTTATTATTGCTGTGTTTACTATTCAGAATACGCTTAAATACATGTTTAGATGTTGTTCAAATGGTTTATACAGGGTTTTTTACCAATGCACTTAGTTTTACAATAAAGCAAAAAAAAATTAATCAAATAAAAGACAGAAATTGGTCAAATACCTTCCAAAGTGTAAATACACTCCTTGTTCGGTGGATATGAATCAGGATAATTCGGTGAAGCAAAATGACCTCCGTTGCTGGTTCGAACCCAAATGCCACCACAATCAGTAGGAGGACTGTGTTTTATTCCAATAATTTGTCCATCTTAAGGAAATATAGCATTTATAACATGGATTCAGCAAAGGAGAATGGCATTCTTCTGTTTGCCCCACAACATTCCCTATCCTCCCCCGCCTCTATGTTACCATATGTAATTCTGTGAGAATCATTTTCAAATTAGCACAAATTGAAGTTAAAACAAAAACATGTGCACTGCCTGCTGGAAGAATTTGCTGCAAAAGGTCTAGTTTGTCATGTTGGGCTACAGGGAAGTGTACGATTTTACAAGGGCAAAAATCTAATGAATCAGTTAAACACTGTAAAATTCAGTTATGACATAAAAATGAAAAATCCCGGACATTATAAAAGCAAGAACAGGGACCAGAGAGATAGCACAGTGGGCAGGAAAACACTTGCTTTGCACACAGTCAACTAGAGCTCAATTCCTAGCACCACATATAATCCCCAAATCGGGAATGATCCCTGAGCACAGAGCTGGGAATAAAACTGGAGCAGAGTTGGGTGTGATTCCCCGAGTAAGAGAATTTTTTTTTTTTTTAAATCAGGGGCTAGAGTGATAGCACAGCAGGTTGGGCATTTGCCTTGCACACGGCCAACCCGGGTTCGATTTCCAGCATCCCATATGGTCCCCCGAGCACCACCAGGAGTAATTCCTGAGTGCAGAGCCTGGAGTAACCCCTGTGCATTGCCGGGTGTGACCCAAAATGGAAAAAAAAAAAATCAGGAACAGTTTTAAGATTACAAATGGATTTAGTTTACAACTGCTGACTGAACATACATGATTGCTACCTCCTCAAATTCCATTTACACAACAGCAGATTTATTTTAGGGCAGAAACCTATAAAATGAGGAGGTAGATATAACAGTGACAAACAGGAAATACTAAGTGTGTCCGGAAGTAGAGACAGTGGTGGTGGTGGTGGCTGCAGTAAAACTGGGCTTTTTAAAACCCATGAATGCTGGTTGAAATTAGAATCAATCTGATTTCAAGACCTTCCTGTACTCTACAAATTTATGTAGCTGCTGCTCTCTCAACAGACCAGAAAACAAGAGATAATTTCTATAGAGATAAACAGGGTTATTGCACTAAGGCATTTTTAGGCAGAGCAGAGGTGAAGGTACCAGCCTGAAATGGGGAATTGGGTGGATGCTGCGATGCTAACTGATAGTCCCAGCCTCTTTCCCACTAACTAGCCCTCTGTGCAGGCTACAGGACTCTTGGTCAGATGTGGAGCTTTTAAACTGAAGATGCAGATTCTTCTGTCGAGAAGCTAATCAATCCAAAGAAAAAGATCCAATGCTGTAACTCAAGGATCCCCCAATGCTGGATCACTCAACAGCGAGAAGCATAGTAAACACTAGTGCAGTTAGTGATCAGATTGTAGTGCTCCTCTCAAAAATAAGAGCAGATATTTAAAGATCACCAGACATTTTAGGAGAGCCTCTAATATGGAAAAACAACCAAAAAGAAACTAAGGGAAATTATTATGCAAGAAAATATTTTTAAAAAGTGACACTACTAGACATAAATAATCTTTGAAGTAAAAAAGGATGCATTTCAAGGCTGAAGACACAGTAAAGAGGTGCCTGCCTTGCATGCAGCCAACCTGGGTTCAATCCTGGCACTGGATTCATATCCCAATACTGCATCAGGGTCCACCAAGCCTCACCAGGAGTGATTCCTGAGCACAGAGCCAGGAGTAAGCTACTAGCATAGTTGGGTGTGGTCCTTCCCCCAATCCCCCAAAAGAGAGTATACAAATAAAACACAAACTAACATACTTTAGGAGCCGGGAGAGAGAAAACAGGATGTCTTGTATGCAGCTGACCCCAGTTCAATGCCTGGCACCAAGTATGGTACCCTAAGTAGATGTGGCACAAAACCCACAGCCCTCCCCATCTCCTATTGCCCCAACCAAAGATATTCTAAAGAATATTCAGAAGCAAAAACAAAACAAAACAAGCTAAGACCAAGCAGAAAAACTAGTAGAATGAGCAGAGATCTGTCAACTATGGACCTGAGTCAAACCAGGCCTACTACCTGGGACTGTAAATAAAACTTTACTAGAATGTATCATACTTATTCATGTGTATTTTGTCTATTGCCCTATTTTTTTTTCTTTTTGTGTCAGACCTGCTGATGCACAGAGGATATTCCTGGAATCACTCCTGGCGGTGCTCAGGGAACCATATCGGATGCTGGGGATCAAACCTAGGTTGTCTGCATGCAAGGCAAACACCCTACCTGCTGTGCTATTGATCCAGTTCCTATTGCTCTCATATTCTAACAACTAAATTAAGTAGCTGTTCCAGAGACTGTAAGGCTTACAAAGTCTTACACAGTAATTATTTGGTCCTTTACCTAAAAGGTGAGCTGGAGTGATAGCACAGCGGTAGGGCATTTGCCTTGTGCACAGCCAACCTGGCAGAGCCGGGTACGATTCCTCCGCCCCTCTCAGAGAGCCCGGCAAGCTACCGAGTGTATCTCGCCTAAATGGCAAAGCCTGGCAAGCTACCCGTGATGTATTCAATATGCCAAACATAGTAACAACGTCTCAAAATGGAGACGTTACTGGGCCCGCTCAAGCAAATTGATGAACAACGTGAGGACAGAGATACAGTGATAGCTAAAAGGTCTTCCTTTTTCACAGTCAGGGAGATAACTGAAAGGGCTGAAGTCCATGCCTTGCCTAGGTTTCACCTTCAGCACTGCATTGCATGGTTCCCCAAGAACTACCGGGTATAATCCTGGTGGCCCATGGAAGCTCCCAAGCATTCCTGGATCCAAAAAGCATCATCTCTCTGGGCTAACAGAGTAGCCTGCATTGCCAGGCTGAGTATCACTGAGAAGTGGCCCCCTGTGACCTAGCTCTTGAGCACAGAGAGTGAAGCTCCACCCCTACCAAGAAAGTTTCCTTCTTTCTCATTCAGAGGATAAAGATGAAGAAGTGTCAATAGAAAGAAAACAGAGTAAGAAAAGAAGAAAAAAAAATTAACAGAAGCTCCTTAAAGAGAGAATAAAAAACTAAAAGAGGTAAGTGAAAAGCTCAAAGACTTAACAAAGCCCCGAAGAGCGTTATGGAACTATGATATGACTATATTGAAATAGGGGGCAGAGAAGAAAACTTAAGAACACATGTAAACTGGGAGTGAAGGACATGTGCATGCGAGAGCTCACGTCTCATTTGTCAAGAAGGAAAATCATTATTAATATCCAAAACTGAAATTACTAAGAAGAGAACAACACATTAGAGATAAGAAAGGAAGAAATGCCAAAAAATGAGCTCCAAAAGGATGGTGGACTGATTTTACCTAACTCTTAGGAATATTTTTATTTTTGTCATGTGTATGTGTAACTTTGATGAAAATATCAGATTCTATGAAAAAATGGGTTAACACTGACATCAAAGTTCAGTTAAAAGATTATGCTAATCTTCAACAAAGGACTATCAGTAAAGGTCCAAAGGACAGGAAAGAGAGATTGATTTTCATTTTACCACATTGGAAAAAGCAATTTTTCCCCCTTAGCAATAAAGCAGAAATCTCACTGATTCTGGGATATAATTCAGAGTGTGTGAGGAACTAGTGATGCCAATTTTTAGACATTATCAGGGAGAGATTTTATATTGACAAGTGCAGTTGAATTCAGTTAAATTGAGGACTGACAGGTTGATACTGGACATCCCAGAGGGATTATGGAAACAGTACTCAAAAGTTGCAATTCTTTCAAATAAGCCATTCCACTATTTTGAACATTTAGTAAGTCATGCTTTTAAATACTTTACCTTGAGTCTTTTGGGCCACAGCAATCCCTTCCACTACAAGTATTGTTATTAACAACACTAGAGAAATAACAGAAAAGAGAAGTTAAACGGAATCTATATTATATTTCACTGTCTATACTAAGGGAAAAATCATACGACAAAATCAGATAAGCTAAACCACTATTTCTTACTTTCATTCTCAATATTTCCAATGGTTAAATGTTATGGTCTCATTTACTATTTGAAACCAAAGGCAATACAAGAAAAGACCTAAATGATATTGTACTCAATTACATGAACATTTATACAAGTACATGGTATTTAAAGTACTTTTCAACTTAGGGATTAAAAACCAAACTTTGTTTGCATCTAACTTTGATTATTCTAATTATTCCTATAAGTAATGTACTCTATCTCAAAATGTTTATACATGTTATTGCATAGTTCGGTAAGATTATCTGACTTTTGAGAAAATTCATAATAGAGAAGGGGCAGCAGTCTCCTAGATACCAACACGTACATTTTATAGTTGTACAGTACTATCCTATTATATCCTAAATTACAATAACTACTACACATTTTTAAAAATGAATCTTTTCCCAGTGTGAACATTTCTAAGACACAATTAACAACAAATATTGAAATTTTAGTCTGCATATGTATTTAAGATTCTTTTTAACCCTTTTTTAAAAATGAAAGGCTGACTGTTATCTTTTCTTTTCCCTTTTAATGGAACCTACCTACCAGACTGCCAAACTCCTACGTAAAGTGGAGTTTTTATTAGTCATCATTCACTTATAGAATATACACTGGATGCCTGGCAGAAAGGATAAAGTGATGTAGAGAGAGAAATTTAGCAAACCAATTGAGTACGGACTTTAGTAATGAAATGCTCCTAAGCAGCATCTCAATGTTTGTCAGGTACCAGCTGAGGCCTTTGCAACTTATTTTACTTATCTGTTAAGTAGGGACTGTCATATTAATAGCATCAACATCATAAGGTTGTTGTGAGGATTAAATGAGATGATCTACATAAGTGTTTTTTTTTGTTGTTGTTTTTGGACACACCCAGCTGTGCTCAGGGTTTAACTCCTGCTGGACGGACTCCAGGGACTACATGGGATACCAGGGACCAAACATGGGCCGGCTGTGTGCAAGGCAAGTGCCTTCCCCATTATACTGTCTCTCTGGCCCTATGTAGCACGTTTTATATGCCATATTCTGCTAAATAAATGATAAATCTTAGAACAAACTGGTATCTTCAAGTAGTCAATCTATGGTTAAAGACAATCTATGATACAAGACGAAAAGCAGTTTATCGGGGTTACATAAAGCATGAGAGCAGAAAAGAAAAATCATTCTACTGTAGGTTTAGTGGAATGCAGCGAAGAAAAGTTCAGGAAAAGGTATATATGTATATACTCTTTTCAATTTGGATCTTAGGGTATTTCAATCTAGGAGAGAGGGGGAAAAACATCTTAGACAAACAAACAAAAATACAAAGGAAGCATGAGTTTTATCTATAGCAGTTGTTAGTGAATTCTGAGTAATAAGATATAGTTAGCATATGGAGTAGAACAGTAGACCAAATTAGAAATAAGATGAAAGAAGACTTACTACCTAAGAGAAAACCGAGAATAATAATCGATATCTGACAATTCAGCAAGTAACATCTATTTGTATCTACTTACATTGTTAGAAAAATTATTTGCCACAGCATAAATACACATTGTACACAAATGGTCAAATTGTGTGATCCGTATCTTCCTTCATTACTTACAGGCATAATAATTTACTGGTTTTCATATTTATAATTCATAATAAAGAGGTAAACAAGCCAGGCAGACAGGGAGAGTAAGAAATCAACCTGAAACCAGAGAAACAGTAAAACAATGGCAACTGTGCCAGGAAAAATTTACAATTGCCAATAAAAATTCAGCTTTATGAAATATCTATGAATTTGAACAAACTATACAACTAAGGTAGATCATATTGAAAATAAAGTTATAAGACATTATTTTCTACTTTAGAGGGATGCTAACAATTTACATTTTCCCCCTAAAGTTAAAATTTATTCATGTCAGGGGCCAGTTCAATAAGCGGTTTACATGTAGGTGACCAGGGTTTGGGAACAATTCCTGAGCACAGAGCTGGGAGTAGCTATAGGGCACCGCCAGATATAGCCCAAAACCAAACAAAAAGATTAGTCAGCCCAGCCTGAAAGATATCTCGATGGTTTGCAGTACATGCTTTGTACATGTGAGCACAGAAATGGCAGCAGCCCCTAATATCCTTGAGCGTGGCCCCAAACCGAAAAAACAAACAAAAAGTCTTAATCAGGAGAGCTGTGCCACAATATATATGATGATGATGATTAGGCAAATCTGCATAGCCATTAGGGGTAGTAATCTTTAGGGAGAATTTTTTTTTTGGCCTATCTGCTATTAATTATTCTAAAATTTGACATAAAAAAGTTTTCTCTGAATATGTAATAGGAAGTCTGAACATTACTGGTTATAATCAGGCCAGAATATTAAAGGAAATTCTATTAATGACAAACATTGGAATTATTCAGTACACAAAAATAGTGCTGTAATACTGGAGTTTTATCCTTAGTCTCAATCTATGTGCCAATCACTGTTCTATTATTCTTACCTTAAGAATTTATTAAATTCTAACTGAAGTTACTGAAACTGCAGATTTTGTCTATAGAACTAAGTTTACATGGGGGGAGTGTGGGGTGGCTGGGAGGAACCCTCAGTACACTGGTGGTGATAGGTATAAGCATTAAAAGTACTAACAGTATTTTAAATCTTGGTACTTCAATACAAATGGTAAAAAAAAAAAATTGGGCCAGAGTGATAGCACAGCAGGTAGGGTACTTGCCTTGCACATGGTCAACCTGGGTTTAATCCCCAGCATCCCATATGGTTTTATCCCATACAGTCCCCTGAGCACCGCCAGGAATAATTTCTGAGTGCAGAGTCAGGAGTAACCCCTGAGCTTCAGCAGATGTGGTCCAGAAACAAACAACAACAACAACAAAAAAGTAGAAAATTTATCAAACTCAGAAACATTTCAGACTTTGAATTCAAAGCAGCGCACTACAGAAGGCACTAATTCTTTTCATTTTTGGCCACACTCGGTGGTGCGCATGGGGGGGGGGGGGATCTTATGGGATGCTAGAGACTGAACTTGGGTAGGCTGTGTGCAAGGAAAGTCTCCTACCCACTGTATTATCTCTTTAGCCCTGTAAGGCACAGATCCTTTACAGCAGAATCCATGCTCAGATAAAAACACTAAACTCTATAATCATACAATTGGGTTATGCAGAGAGCATCCTTTGGCCCGATGCTTGAGAGAGATGGTGTCCACCATTTATGCTCTTACTTCTAGTTCTAAAGTTTAGTAACCAGGACCTGTAATAACTGATTATACACCTGACTTAAGAATAAAGATCTAAAAGATATAAAATACAAATCCTCAAAACTACTCCCTGCATTCCATCTCCTTCAACTCTGAATCACTGTATATTAGATCAAAGCAGAGTACTGTCCTCGAGCCCTATTTTCCTACTTTTCATTGCAAAGACAGGCCCTATTTTCCATTACAAAAATCAAGGTCAGATTTATTCTTCTCATTGTTACTTAATAGTGGAAATCTAGCCAACGCAATGAATACTGGAAAGAAGACAAAACTATTATTTATAGATAATGCTATTGAAAACCTGTTAAGTTCCAAGAGAATTACTTGGAAAATTATTATGCTTATTATAGCTACTGTGCCTTCATTAAAGCATGCAAGAATGAAGAAATGATGCAGGACATCCGCTTCCTTTTAAAAATACTTCCTTAGAATCTACAGTGATCTCAAAATGAAAATTTCAACAACAAAAACAATACCAAGTCCCCAAAGTTGTACATCCTGGGAAATCTAATCTTCATTTTGTGTGACTGTGAGTTTAACAATAATTCAGAGACTTGCCAAAGGGCAAATGGATATTGGGAAACAACTGGCTCTTTTTGTCACCGTGCCCTATGTTATACTGATAGTGTATTCTGTACCCAGCAGCCAGTGATCTTTTAAAAACAGAAATCAGGTTACATTATAGCCTTTCACAAAATCCTCCAAGAGTTCCACTGAATTCAGAATCAATCCATATTCTTTACTGATTTCCAAGTTCCTGTACTTTCTGGCACTGGCCATCTGACCTTTACAGTGAATCCACGGCTACTCAGGCTGCTTCCGCATTATTTCAACAAACCAAGCTCACTCCTGCCTTAGAGACAACTGCCTACTACCTGTCTGCAAAGCTAGTCCTTTCCCAGGGTTCAAGTCCTGTGAGGTCTCCCAAATTCTAAAGAAATGCAGACCTTCCTCCATCCACTTACATCACATAACCATTTTACCAATTACCTGCATTTCAAAGTACTTTCTCTAAAAAGAGGGAACTTGTCTAATTCACTAGTCTAGTGCCAGGATTTCCTGCACTCAAATGACTAAACATGATCTTGAGCAAGGCTTCTTTATAGCTACAACAGAGTACTCGTCCTTATTAACAGTAACCACACATACAAGGGAGCTATCTTTTATTTGAGTGCAAATCGAGAGATGGGAAAGAATGGATTTATTGTTTTCTTTTCAGATACTCAGCCAGTATTTTTCCTCTCAAGCTGGATTAATTTACCTTCATAGTTGATTAAATCTAGCACCAGATGCCAGAATGTTACAACCATCAAAATGGCCTGCCTTCATGCTCCTTATTACTTTTCTGCAGGGAAACAAAGAATGAAGCGCCACCCGAGTACACACACTATTTGAGGTAGTGGGAGCAGGAAGCTCCCTCCTGATGAACTTTGTTCCAAAGGAAAAGTTAGATTTAATCAAACTCAATTTTACTTACTAGTGAAGAAAGATAGATTCTGGCTAATTTTTTGGATGACTCCTTCATACATATGCTAATCACACTGCCAGATCTCTTTTACAAGAAAGAGTCAATGTATCAGAAATGCTTTCTCTATCTATAGAATGGGAGTTAAACACTTGCTAGTCAAATGCTGCTGAGACGGCAGTTTTGTACTGCTCTAATTATACAGGAGTCTCCTTGGACATCATAGCAACTATCAATAAATCTCACTACAGCCAGGTCACATTTTTTTAGAGTATCTGGAATCTTCTTACACACGAGTGCTGGAATTCCCAAACACTATTCTAGAAACAACATGTACTGTCATTTCGATGAAAACAAAATGTGCTGTCATTTTCATGAAAACAACTGAACTTTCCAATTAGAACACTGTATAATTCTGAAAAAGCAAAATAGCAAGTACATTACTAAGGGTCAGCTTCTCAGGAGTCACTCTGTTAAGTGAGTGACAGAGTAAGCCCCCACCTCCCCTGTCAGAACACCCTTTCTTCTGTTATTTCTGTTCTATTTTTAAACTTTAGTTTGGTTTTTGGGTCACACCCAGCTGAGCTCAGGGTTTTCCTGGCTCTGCACTCAGGGATCACTTCTGGTGGGGCTCAGGGGACCATATAGGGTCGAAGGAATCGAATCCAGGTCAGCCGTGTGCAAGTAAGCACCTTACCTGCAGTACTATCTCTTCAGCCCCTCTGTTCAGTTTTTAAAATATTCCCTCATAAGGGTTCTTTTGAGGGAGTCCTGCTATAAGGAAAGTTTGGATATGACTACATTAAAATGCCTCTTGGGAGTCCCCTTCTTAAAAAAAAATCTTAAGAGCCTCAGGATCACATTTTAAAAAATACTTCAGCAATTGTTCTATAGGAGGATAAATTTAAAAGTAAAAGGAGAAAATGCTCAATGGTAGTAACCATGACCAGAAGTTGGATTGTTGTTTCAAAACTGATCATGAGCAAGAACTGGGCCGAAAATTGCTTTGAACTGAACCTGTTTTGTCATGAACATGTGTGCAGGAGAAACAAAAAAGTTTGGGGTGTGTGTAGTAATGGTTTTAGGGAAAGACAGGGAGAGGGTAAGAGTAATAAGGGAAGGAAGAGAAGGGGAGGAGGAAAATGGGAAGAGAAGAAAAGAAAAAGAGAAGATACTAACCCATAAAGGAAAAGAAATCATGGGAGGGAGGTTCAGGAAGGAGAGAAGGAGAGCAAAAACCAATACATTGGTTCCCTTATCAAAATCCCTAGAGTTCACCAGGTTAAGTTTGGTTTTTAAAATGCATAAAACTATATACTAATTGAGGATCTGTGATAATAAAAGTATCATTTAATGAAACTTTTCAATTGTCAATATTTAAAATTTTTTTCTCCAACTCTTGAAATAAGTCAAAAAAGTCAATTTTTAACAAGGTAGTATGTGCCTATGACAAGTGATATTAAAGGGATCATTTTTTTCAATACTGTATTTCTTTTGGATAGTTAACTTTCTGATCTCAAGGATCACTCCTGGCAGGCTCCGGAAGACCGTATGTGTACCAGGGATCGAACCCAGATCACCTACATGCATGGCAAATGTCTTACCCACTGTACTATCTCTCTGGCCCAAGTTTTAAGCTTTAAGATACAGCATGCCAGGGAATATTTATGCAGTTATACCATAAATTTGGGTGAAGCGATAGTACAGTGGGTAGGGCATTTGCCCTGCACGCGGGGGACTCGGGTTCGATTCCACTGTCCCTCTCGGAGAGACCGGCAAGCTACCGAGAGTATCCTACCCACACGGCAAAGCCTGGTAAGCTCCCCATGGTGTATTCGATATGCCAAAAACAGGAACAACAAGTCTCACAATGGAGACATTACTAGTGCCCACTCGGGCAGTGTATAAAGAATAAAAATGGCAAAAAAGGGTGGACAGATAGCATAGCCGGTAAGGTGCTTGTTTTGCCCTCTTAGTTCAATCGCAGAGGCCAGGTACTACATAGAGCTGTCCCCTTCCACTCTGCTTCCTCCCCCAACAAATCCAGGAGTGACCACTGAGCACAGTTGGGAGTGTACTAACCTCCCCATGCCCCCAAAAAAGGCTAAAAAAATGGGCTTATAATTCTCATTAATATTTTGTTTTGGGGGGTGGGTGGGAGTGGTGTTGGATAACTGTTGTATCCAGGGCTTACTGCCAACTCTGTGCTCAAAGATCACCTCTGGTGGTTATCAGAGGACCATTATGTAGTACCAGGGTTCGAAACTGGATCAGTTATGTTCAAGGCAAGTGCCTTAACTCTGGACTATTTCTCCTGCCTTTCATGTCGTATGTTCATCAGACAGTGATGCTTATTAAGCTTTGATAGAAGGTAAGCCAAATTTCACAAAACCCGAATAAAAAACATTTACAAATGATAATCAGTTTCAGCAACATATTAAAGGTCTTAAAAGACTTGTGGAGATACCTTTTTGTTCTCACTGCTTAAAGTAAAACAAATCAACAGCATCTTATAAAAAAACCACACTATATTATGGCTGATTTTAGTAGAAGCTGACCATAATATTACAAAAAAGGCTTTTGGTTTGTAATATCTACAATCATGCTGATGTTAAATAATTGCCTAGAAACTCCTATACTTTGAAGCAATCCATCTTACAGCATACATAAAGGATACTTGTTCATTCCTAATGGCCAATTTTTTCAAAGATAACTTAAAATTTAAATCAATTCATGAAGCATTTGGTTACCAAAAAACCCCCCAGAGATATGGAGCACTGTGGTATGAAAAGGAAGTCTCCTCTGTATTTCTATTTCCCAGATTCCCTTTTCAGCTTTTGTTAAATTCTTTCCAGACCAATTCCCCATATTTATAAGCACATATACAAAACCTTGAAACAGATTTTAAGTGTTTTCTCTTAGTCATCTTACAATTTTATTTTAGCTGGAACCTCAAAAGTACTCCCATGAAAAAATCGCATAGGTCGGGTAAGAGTAAGGGGGGAAAAAGCCAAATACTACATTGTTTTCACTGTAGTTGCCATCACCACAGAAACCTTCCCCTAAAGGTGTAATAAGGAGTACTTCACCACTATGGCCAAAGAGGGCAGTGTGCACCTATGACAAATCAAAGGAAGAAAGAAAGGCAACAAATTCCTTCACCATTAGAGGAACACTGAAATTCTTTTCTATCCAGCTCAATTTCCCCAAGTTCTGTAGACAAAGCTGCATAACAGATCTGTGGAAATTCTCTCCAAAGGGGGCTACTTGCAAGGGCTGTCAATTATTGCATAACCGTAAAACAATCAGAAAAGAAAGAAAATTTGGGTAAGGGGTAATCTTGGAAATCTTACATGTCAATTTGAAGAACCTTAATTTCCAAGGATTATCTATATACAGCAGAGCTATAGGCAGAGAAAAAAAAAGAAGAAACCACGAAATTAATCTGTTTTAAATGTCAATACAATGAGGGAACCATTGAGAACATAAGGGGTAACGGAAATAATTACCAGCTAAGAAGTCCTAGGTAAGGTTACCATACTAGAAATAGTGTGTATTACAGTTGAGAAGCCAAATATTTTGAGCTCTTAATTCGAAACCTCAATTATAAATTTCTTAATAACTAGAGGGTAACGTCCGATTAAAATGAAAAGCAGAAGTATACTGACTTTCTAGAAAACAAAAGTATACATCTGGAGTGGGAGGAAATAAACATTGTCTGTTGTGCCACTGTATGGAGATTAAGATACGAAAAACTAACACCGTTATTGTTCCTCCAATATGAAAAACAACGTTTCACAAAATTACAAACAGACTGTTACTCAATTTTCAATTTAAATCATGAGGGGTCAAAAGAAGTCCTTTGACGTATTGGTGGAATCGTTTTCCCTGAGGAATGAAAAAGAGGATTTATTCAGTCCGAGTTTCAGAAACAAGTTTGTATCACAATTTTAATCACGTCGGTATATCGAAATTTCACGTCCAATAACACCTCCTGGGAAATGCAAAAACAGCTACAGTGTTTCTCGAGCTTTGTACAGTAGGGAAGCAGGATGCTCTTATTTGGACACAAGAAATCAGAAAGAACCAGCCACCGGCTGCAGGTTATTCTGAGGTCCCGGGAAGCGCCTGGAGGGCGCAGCGCGAGCCGCCGGTCCCGAGCCGGGCCGGGCCGGGCCGAACCGGGTCTGGGCGCCCGCAGTGGTGCCGCAGCCTCCGCGGCGGCAGCAGGTGGGACCCCGCTGGGGCAGGAGGCCGCTCGGCCCGCCACCGCCCGGCTTGTCGAAAACCTCCCCGCGACGCCTCGGCCGGGGCTTTTGTTGTTGGCGTGGAGGGACTTTGTTCGGAAATTCCCAGAAAGACTGGCCTTGGCTCCACTTAAAAGAAACCCCACAACTTTGCAAGAGCATTGCACGGGGGGAAGCGCGAGGGCACGGCTCTCGAGGGAGTCCGGGGGGAAGCGGGGCACTGGAGGCCTTCGGGGGTGGGGTTGGGGGGAGGGGTTCGGGTCACCTCCTCTCCCACCACCCCGCTTTCAACCAAACCCGCGAGCGCGCAGCGGGGCCAGGGAGAGGCGCCCCAAGAGCCCCGCAGTCGGGCCGCCGGCAGACAAAGAGGCGCGCCGGGTGCGCGGCGCGGGGAAGAGGCGCGGAGACGCCGGGCTCGGCCCGCAGGGGGCGCCGTCCGCGGCCCCGGGGCCGCTTACCTTTGAGGACCGAGCACAGCTGCTCCAGGGCCATGTTCCCGGGAGGCCCGGCGCTCGGCGGGGGCCCCGGCGCGCGGCTCGGAGGCGGCTCGGAGGAGGCGGCGGCGGCGGCGGTGGCGGCGGCGGCGGCGGCGGCGGCGGCAGCGCGGAGCTCACGGCCCAGCGCGGCGGCGGCGGCGGCGGCAGCCCCGCTGCGTCCCCATCGCCGGCGGGGCAGGGATCAGGTCCTGCGGGCCGCCGCGCCCCAGCGCCCCGGCGGGCCGCCGCGCATCCCGAGCCCCCCGACGTGCGCCGCCTCCTGGCCCGCGCCGCTCCGTTTTGCCATCGACCGCCCCCGGAGCCGCCGCGGCGCGCGAGTGCTGCTCCGCCTGCGGCCGCCGCGCCAGCCCCTCGCAAGTGGCGGGCGCGGGGAGCCCCGGCTCATTTAAGCGGGGAGCGCGAGCGCCGCGTGCCGGCCGCGCCGCCTGCGCGCATGTGCCCGCCCTCCGGCCCCCGCCCGGTGCCCCTCGCACCCGCCCCGCCGATCGCCGCCGGGGGAGCGCGCCTCGCGCCCCGGGGAGGGCGGTGCACCCCGCGGCCGGCGGCCGTTGGGCCGGGACGGGGCCGGCGCGGGGGTCCCGGGAGCGGCGCGCTGCTCCGAGCCCGGCCGCGTGCCCAGGGAGACGGGCGCTGCCCTCCCGCCGCCGCCGCCGCCGCCGGGCGCCCGGGTTGGACTGTCCGAGCCCTCGAGGCCTCCCGCGCGAGGGAGGAGCCGGGGCAGCGGTGGCCCAACCCCGGCTCGGCAGCCGTCGCCCGTCACTCCGTGTCCGATCGTGTCCGATCGCCCTCTCAGACTGATGGGGTGGGCAGCGAGCCCCCAGCCCCCGGCCACCTACGGCCTCAGTTCAAGGTCAAAGTCCTGCCCCCTTGGACCCTGCTCAGCCACCTGCCTCGGTCAGGGAGTTTAGAGGCCGATTGGGGGTGAGGGGGCCTGAGGGTCTCTCACCTGCTCCTACGGCCAGGTGAGTTCCAGTTGACCACCGCTAATGCGCACTGACATTTACCTAGCGCTACCAGACACTTGACAGCGCAACCCGCACCCTCAGACGTGGGTCTTGCTGGAAGTATTGGCGGAGAAGGGGGGAAACGAGGCCAGAAAGTTAAGTGTTTTGTCCAGAGCCACACTAGCGAGTGGAGGGAGGCAGATTAAGGAGCCAGGAAATCCCAGGGTTTCCCTCTGAGCCACTGAACCACGCTGATGGTGCTGTCTGACTGCTGGAAAACATTCCAAAATTTAAAACTGTTGTATAGTAGCACTGTAGCATTGTCCTCCCGTTCTATAGTATGTGCACTAATTATCCTCTTTTATTTTCTCCACGATAAGTATTCATATTCTGAAATTACCTTGCTTAACTGCTTAGCTGTACCCCTCCTGTTTCCCCACCTCCCACCTACTCCCAATAAAATATGTGCTTGAGGGCAGGAGTCACTCAAACTTTATGAGTGGATTTATGGGTGTTAAATTTGTGCAGAAAAGAAGATTGGTGCTAGAGAAACATCCGTAATTGAGGTCCCACCATGGCGAAATATTTATGCTTGTATCTGACTCAGAGTAGGAACTTTATGACTTGTTAAATTGTAGCTAAGCACAAAGTAAAGCAACTGGGAGAAAAATCTCCCAGGAAATACAAAGCTCTCTTCTGTCCTATTCCTTCAAGAAAGGCACAAAGATTTTACAAGGATTACAAATGAAAACATTGAATACCAATTAGTAGTACAGCATTTAAGCCCTTTGCTGTGGTATAGGAGGTATAAAAGATGTTTCTGTTGGTTTTCTAAGACAAATCAGCTACAATTAGATTGAAATTGCACCCAAGAATCAACAAGTAAGCAACACATTAAGAGTTTTTTCCACAAATAATAAAATGTCAATGATTTATGCAAAAGCCCTGTTAGCAGTATTGTAAACCATGGTGCCGAAAATAGAATTTAAAAATAAAACACACTGGAAGGCTGGGGCAGTAATTCAAGTACTAAATCTAAGCCACAGACAACAGTGGCAGTGGGGATGGGAGAAAAGGCTTCTGGAACATAGTAAGTTCTTAATGCATAGTTGTGTGTGATGTCATTAGAGAATGTTTGAGGAAGAAGGTAATACACAAAGAATAGAAAGACTGTGGATGGCAAGTGGAAAGAGATTTCACATCAAGCGAGGAGCAGGGTGAACACTGAGGCAGGTGTGTTTTGTAATGAAGCTTTACTTGAATATGAATATGGTGAACTTTGATTGTGCAAGTCCCAGCTTGAATTCTAGCCAGAGATATCTATGTTTTATTCAAGACCAAAGACACCATTTTTAATAGTGGAGTAATGGAGTTCTAAGAAGTTTAACCTGGCGATTGGATTGAGGTTATAGTAAAAAAAAAATGAGGTTAGAGGAGCTATAGCCATTAAAATATATACTTGTGTATATACATATGCATGTATATAAAACTTTGTTTTAGCCTACCACATCTTGCCAGTAGTAGCATTTTAATGAAACCTAAAATGTCCTTTCTCCTTTAGTATTTCGAGTAGAGAGAACATTTCTGTGGCATAGATTGGGAATGTTTATTTATGTTTCCCTATTAAGACATATCTTTAGATATACTAGAGCAATTGTCAGCAGATTTTTCAAAGATTGTGAAAAAGCACAGATCATAGTTTGAGATTATTATGTGTCCATACATCAACAAAATAGCAGTTGGAGATCTGATATTTGAATTATTAATAAAACAACCCAGTAGTATCTAGTCTGTTCCTGGATTACTGGTCAGTTCCCAGGTAACTCACCTTTCATTGCATCCTGCCTGATGTTCTACACATAATAAGACTTGCTTCTCCAATACTCATAGAATCATTCCTATAGTATAAACACGGTTTTCTCTGATCATCTGCTGCAGTATTTGAATGATGTATGGCATTGGCTTAATCTCAAAATGAATCATTTTAAAAATATGTTCTCTCAATATTTATGTAACAAATAGATTTTTGTTGTTTCTCTTGCTAGTGTTTGGGTGTACTAACATTTTATTAAATGATAGCAAGACAGGTTATTGTGTTTATTATGAACCGAATGTTTTCTTCCCTAAAAATTCATATGTTGAAGTCCTAATCTACCCAGTGGAGCTGGAACCTTTAAAATAAAATCATAAGATGGGGACCTTACCTGATAGAATGAATGTCCTTACAGGAGAGCAAAGCATGATAGAAATGCCATGTGAGAACACAGTGAGAAGGCAACAGTCTGCAAGTCCTCAAGAAAGCTCTCACCAAAGCCCAAATTGGCTGAGCCTTCATCTGGGACTTCAGCCTCCGGGGAACTGTGAGGAAATCTGTGGTGTTTAGTTAAGCAGATGAATACAGAGATACATTTTTAAGATTGAAGAATTTACACATCACCAATCTAATCAGAATGTCTATTTGTAGGAGAGGGGAAAAATGGGGACTCACCCTGTTTTTCTTAGAATGTCTGGATATGATTACAATGATGTGAAATTTAGTGAAGAAATCATTGGATCTCAGTGTATGAAGCCTTTGGTGTTGAGTATGAATGTTTTAAGGAAGGAAAACCCAACATTTTAAGATTAATTTTTAAGTGCATTGTATTTAGTTCATTTGGATATTTGTTCTGGGAATTTGCCAGAAGCTGGGTATCATAAACAACAGAAACTAATTTTCCATTAGTTCTGGAGGCTGGAATTCCAAGATCAAAATGCTGAACAGGACACCCCTTGGTGCAGTCTCTCCTTATGACTTGCAGACTGACTGCCTTTTCTTCACAGGACACTTTATGGTGCCACACATTCCTCATATCTCTACCTTTTCTAGAAGAATACCAGTATTTGATCTAGAAGAATACCAGTATTTGAGGTCCAACCCTAATTTAATGTTAATTACATCCTTAAAGACTCTTTCTTCAAATCCGGTCACTCTGCAGGGTTAGAACTTTGTCTGGAAGTCCAAAGGTTATCTCTATGGCTCAAGAATGCATTCTCTTTCAAGTATAAGTTGTGAGTTCCATCTGTGGTGTCTCTGCATGAACCAGGCTCTGTTGTTTGTGTCTGGCAGGTCTGCTGTTTGGATCTCCAGTGCTGTAGGTGCTGCAAGAAATTTCTGGCCAAACTGGTCAGGTGTGTGTGAGCACCACCACATCCACAGCTAGCATTACAACTAAAAGATATGCAAGCACCATTTCCAGTAACTGCAATCCTTGGGAAGCATTTGTGAACACCATGGCAACCAGAAGTGAGCATAATGCCCAGAATATGTACAGACATCACAACTCAAGGAGTCGCATCTCAGCGAACACTACAGCCAAGGATGCAAGCACTATAATCTGATGTGATCCCTGGCAAGCCCCACAACTAAGTATGCAGGAACAATCTATTCATGTGTGTGATCCTCAGTCATCACAACAACAAAGAGTGAAGGACAGGTAGGGGCAGAAAAAAAGACTTTCACACGAATAGCAGGGATGGTGAGAAATTCATTTGATACACATAAACCAGAATTATTCCTCTGTTAATGATGTTGAGGAACAGATGCTCTTTCAGTAATACTCTCTCCTAAACTTGTTTCCAAATTTTCACTTAGCCTAATTACAAACCAAGGAAGCTATTAAGAAATATTGTCTTGAATTTCAGGAAAATTTTTGGTGATTCAGTTTTTTTTTGTTTGATTATGAAAAACTAAGAAATGTCTTAATTACATATTTCTTTGAATATTGCTAAGCATCTAACATTTTTTTCTTTCTTTGGAAGGAGGTTTGGGTTGGCACTGAGGGGTTTTTTCTTTGAAATTTTTTGATATTTTGAGGAGTCACTACTGATGGTATTTGGAGGGCCATATACAGTGTTGGGGATTGAATGGGGCTCAGCTGCATTGCAAGACAAGACCTTAGCCTCTGCACTCCCTAACTTCTATACTATTTCCAGTGCTGATGTCCTTTCCTTAAAAGTTAAAATCATGGGGGAAGGGGAGCTAATACTGGTGTTTATTATAGGTTGAAATGAATTCTGGTTTATTGGTATAATATGAAATGACAACATCAAAGAATAAAAATCTTAAGTTATTTGACTTGATAATAGGCATTTATGTTTAACTTAA